GTACAGAGTGTATAAAGTGACTATACAGTGTGTAAAGTGACTGTACAGAGTGTGTAAAGTGACTGTACAGAGTGTGTAAAGTGATGGTACAGAGTGTGTAAAGTGATGGTACAGAGTGTGTAAAGTGATGGTACAGAGTGTGTAAAGTGATGGTACAGTGTGTGTAAAGTGATGGTACAGAGTGTGTAAAGTGATGGTACAGAGTGTGTAAAGTGACTGTACAGAGTGTGTAAAGTGACGGTACAGTGTGTGTAAAGTGACTATACAGAGTGTGTAAAGTGACTGTACAGAGTGTGTAAAGTGACGGTACAGTGTGTGTAAAGTGACGGTACAGTGTGTGTAAAGTGACTGTACAGAGTGTGTAAAGTGACTGTACAGAGTGTGTAAAGTGACTGTACAGAGTGTGTAAAGTGACAGTACAGAGTGTGTAAAGTGACTGTACAGTGTGTGTAAAGTGACTATAGTGTGAGAAGTAATTTACAGTTTTATGGGAAATTAATTATATGTAGCACCTGCAGAGGAAAACAACAGAATTTCGTGGGAAGTTTAGAAGAATTAGGAACAAACTGCAAATCTGGGAATTTCTTACAGTTTGTTGAGACATTCTTTTCATTCCTGAGAATAATTTTGTGTTAGATTATATTTCTTTGAAAGCAAAGGAAAATTTATTCTATGTCCTATCTGTCAGTCAGTAAGATTAGTTTGGTTTAGAGAGCACAATAGGCAATGGCAAAGTATTCCAATGATTCAAATTATTATTCATTGAAAAGAAACTATTTGTTTAGATATACATTGTTCTAGACTAAGAATATTATTAGCAAAAATATTGTTACCTAGCCTGACCGAGGCTTGGAATTTCACACTAACATAATTATAATTTGTGAGTTGGAGTTTACGTAATGAGAGTTGTAATATTTTCTCCTTGCTATTTTTCATGAGAACATACTTGTGACACAAAGTTGAATAGAAATACAAAACTGCAAAATTAAATTACTGAACTCCTTTTTTTTTTTTAAGTCAGTAAAGGCTGATTCCTGTTTGATTATGATCGTGTATATATACGTGTTTAAAAAAGCACTCTTCAGATGGTTTTGTTGCTGCATGCACAATATGTGCATTGTTTACATCTGCATTAGTGCAATGGGGAACAAAAAGATTTCAAGATTTTTTATATGTATCAATCCTTGAAGTGAATCTGATGATGAAAAGGAATCATACAATGACAAGAAAAAAACTGTAGTGGTCTGGCACAGTGTCTGTTAAAAAACAGTCAAAAGAGCTGAACCTTGCATTTGGCTATCATCCTGATGAAAACGATCCATCAAGAGTATTTAAAATATTGTGTATGATATGCTGAGAAAATGCAATAGATTGTTCATATTCAGTGAGTATTTGAATCTTAAGTAATTTATTTTGGGTGATGTAGCTTGGCATTCAATGAATTGTTTGAGATTGCTGATATCTTGCAAAATTATAGACAGAAACAA